CCCCCCCCCACACCAGCCACAACCGCGGTCGTTATTACACACATAGATATATAGATATTGTATTAGCAGGCTGATTTAAGGTTCCTTATACGGCCACTAATAAATATAAATAAATATATATATATATATATATATATATGTGTGTGTGTGTGTGTGTGTGTGTGTGTGTGTGTGTGTGTATGACAGCTAGCCGCCGTTATTTTGTGCACTCTCAAGGCCTCTTGTGGGTTGCTGAGCCAGAGAAGGAACTGTTCAGATGCAGCCAGTTCTGAACAATATAATGAAGTTAATTTCCACCTATCCACCCCCCCTCTAAAAAAAGGAGTCATGTGCTGATGACTTTGTGTAGGTCTGATACTAGTTGAAAATGAAAAAAAATCATTAATCGGATGTTAACTAATCTGGGGACGAAAGTGCATGCATGCAAGAAAATCTACAGATTTAAGTAGTTCATGCATACCCCTAAATTAGACTTTTTAAAGTTTGAACTCAACTTGCTGCGCATCTCACTATGCAAGTCTTAAAAACAGCTGAAACTCTTAGTGGCAGTCTCATAAAATAAAATAAAACATAGTGACAATAATGTGCTTTTATTCTTTGTAGTTGGTTGTCTGCTGGACTCTCCTGCCAGGATGATATGACATGTTTGCACAAGATGCATCCAGGTTAGCGGTTGTTGCGTGTTTGTAGTTCTCTCTCTCTCTCTCTCTCTCTCTCTCTCTCTCTCTCTCTCTCTCTCTCTCTCTCTCCCTCTCCCTCCCCCGGCTCCGTTTCCCTCTCTCTATCTTCTTCTACTGAATGGGAAGCGATGAAGTCAAGTTCCTCCCTGTCGCTGTCCTCTTCTCCAAATTTGCATCACGCTGTTATGTGGGGCAAAGTTTCAGTGCAGTTGAAGTTTGAGTGCTTTCGGTCATACATTGTGGTTTTTTTCAAAGCTGGTAAATGAAATCAAACATGTCCAGCTATTCCAAACAAATGTTAGAATGTTCCTTTTAAAGGAGACGAATGTAGGCGTGTAATACATGTATTTATAAGCGCAGCAAAGGCGTCTTGTATTACATCTTGTGTGTTCCTTTAAATACAGCCTTTGCCTGTGCTCTCCTCGTCTTGCCGTCGCTCGCCTTTATTGCTGTCAGTGGCTGTGTATTTTTTGGCGCTCCCGAGCTGGCTCAGCTTTCGAACGCTCTCGTCGCGAGTGTAGCTTTTTGGATTGTGTAGCTATTTTGCCGTCAGCCTCTCGTGTCGAAAGCGGCGTCGAATTGTGCCAAAGTTCAATTTGATTTGTTTATTTCTTGTTTTCTCATTGGAAAATGGGAGCCGCTCTGCCCTGGCAACAAAAGTAGGCTATTTGCATACTGCGTTGTGATTGGCCTGTGCGTTGATGGGCTTGCCAAATCACGCTGTATCTCTGTGGTGATAGGCTATGCTAATTAGGTGCTGTTGCTGGGATTCTGAAAAGTGGTTACTGTGTAGCGCTGGTGGATTCTGTTGTGTGCTGAGAGATGCTGATAGCTCAACATGCTATTTCACTTTTTTTCCCCTCACCATTCCTGCTGCCTTAAAATGAAGTATGATTCACTGTACAGTGCTGGGCCTTTCTTTTCATCCCCTTTTCCACTAAAGCCTGCTCATATGTTCTCCCCTTTTCTCCTCACATATTACTCATACAAACAATAGGATTTAATTTACTCGTTCAATTTGATGCTTTAAACAACACAATGTTGTAATATATCTGGCATGTTTTACATTTTGCCGGCATATTTGTCGCTTTAGTTGTATCAAACTGATCATTTCAATACACATGTAATATATCAGTTTGCACACATTTACATTTTTGCATATTGTTCTCATCTAATCACACATGAAGATATTTGTTGACCTGTTGGAAAAGCAAATTAATAATTGCTCTATTAAAACAAGACACATTGTTCTGCATATTGTGTGTGAAAAGTAAATGCTACACCTCTACACTGTGAGGATTAGTCTCTTTGTTTTGATCGTATATCTTGCTGGCGCTGCGACTCAAGTCATGGTGCTAATGTCTTGCAGGAGGAGAGACTTCAGCATGCAAACCTTCGTCTGTCCGGCTTGCGCCCTCTTTTTCTTTACACACTGCTGGTCTTCAGATGGCTGCTCCAATGCCCCATACGCACCAGCAGTACAGTGAGCGCCACCAGCCAAGCACTGACCAATCTGTTACGGTCTTACCGTACAGCGACCAGGCGACACAGCTCACTGCCAATCAGGTACACTTTAAGAAGCCGTTTGACACCGGTGGTGTTTGAATTGTTGACAAGAGGACAAACGTGTCATTCATTATCTGTTATGTAATATTTTTGACACTTCAGAGGCACATGCCCCAGTGCTTTCGTGACCCAACTTCAGCTCCCCTGAGGAAGCTCTCCATTGACCTTATCAAAACATACAAACACATCAATGAGGTCAGTGAGAACATTCTGAAACGATGGCATGAATCTTGATTATCTGTTTTTGTCGCCCTCTGTTTTTTTTAAGCCTTCTTTTCGATCATCGTTTCAGGTGTATTATGCAAAAAAGAAGCGGCGGCACCAACAGGGTCAGGGTGAAGACTCGAGTCACAAAAAAGAAAGGAAGGTCTTCAATGATGGCTATGACGATGATAACTATGACTACATCGTCAAGAATGGGGAGAAATGGATGGACCGATATGAGATTGATTCCTTGATAGGAAAAGGTTCATTTGGACAGGTGGGTACTGCTGCGGAACATATGAGTACAGTATTTAACAGTGCGTTTGTTACCTAACCATAAATCATCAGCTATTTTTAATATTCTTAAACTGTCTTCATGGAAATCTAACTTTAGCCGACCATTGAATGTGCCTTTTTTAGGTTGTGAAAGCATACGACCGAGCAGAGCAGGAATGGGTTGCCATTAAGATCATCAAGAACAAGAAAGCTTTCCTCAATCAAGCCCAGATTGAAGTGCGCCTCCTAGAGCTTATGAACAAACATGACACCGAGATGAAATACTACATTGGTACTTAACACTCTCTTCTGATTTGTTCAGTCACACAATAAAAAAGCTTCTAATGCAACTAACCCGGACATAACTTGGTTACTCCCACAGTTCACCTGAAGCGTCACTTCATGTTTCGGAACCACCTCTGCCTCGTGTTTGAGATGCTTTCATATAACCTGTACGACCTGCTCCGGAATACCAACTTCCGCGGCGTCTCGCTCAACCTCACCCGGAAGTTTGCCCAGCAGTTATGCACGGCGCTGCTGTTCCTGGCCACGCCCGAGCTCAGCATCATCCACTGTGACCTGAAGCCCGAGAACATCCTCCTCTGCAACCCCAAGAGGAGTGCCATCAAAATAGTGGACTTTGGCAGCTCGTGCCAGCTTGGACAAAGGGTACCTAATGCTCTTTGTCATGACCGTATGCTAAATAGGAGTGCATGATGTCCAAATGAAAAGAAAGTACTAATTGCCTTCCTTCCTTTGTGCAGATATACCAGTATATCCAGAGTCGCTTCTACCGCTCCCCAGAAGTGCTTCTGGGAATGCCCTATGACCTGGCCATCGACATGTGGTCTTTGGGTTGCATTTTGGTGGAGATGCATACAGGAGAGCCACTCTTTAGTGGAGCCAATGAGGTATATTGAGGGCAATTATCCAACGTACTATTTCATGTCCACGCACTTATTTTGTTACATAGATCAGTATCGCTATCGGCTGCTTTTGATTTCATGAACAACTCCCTCACTCAGTTGTCATGAAAATGTGGCAGAAAACAATAATAATAATAATAATAGGGCATCTTTCAAGATTATACGTGGGCAAAGATTTTCACATACACCCACTAGACAGGCGCAGAATGTCTCCTACTTTTATGCCACTTGGGTGTACATGGTTTTATTGCCCACAATTTATTTGATAAAAGGAGTCATTTTGGGGTGATAATTCTGTTTTCACACTCACATGGAACATTCCCTGAAATTGCCGCCCACTCTGTCATTGTAGGTTAACTATCCCTTCAAGTGTGAACTAAATTTGAATAACCATATTTTGAGTAATACTTAGGGCTAAAAGTATTTTATGCATACTTTTGTTTTTTGTTTTTTTTTTACTTTTAACTCAACCAACCCAAATTCACGGTTAGACCGACAGCAAGGCATTTAACAACGAAAATGCTTTTATCCGGCAATCCCGGTGAGTGACATCATTCAAAGAATGCCGAGTCTCCATTCAGCCATTGTACTGCATTCTTGATTGTCCCGTTAACTGCTCTTTGTCATTGTTATCAAGTTATTCGGCGAAATGCCTCGGCGCTGTGTGGCGATGCACTGTTCACATTCAGGCAAACGTTTGTTTGAGTGGCCAAAAGAAAAGAATAGTGTACGTTGTGGACTAGTTTCGTTGTCGCACAGCGAATGAATTTCGTGCCGGTGTCGACAGGCGTTCTTTGTTACCAGCACTTTGAAGACCTCTGTTTTCTCAACCGTTTTGTTTATGATAGAGGCTTTGCAAAAAGGTCAGTGATAATCACTAACTCTGGCTGTTGTTTATGAAAACATTTGATTCCAAATATTAGACATGGACATGGATGGAATCCTGTACGAAAACATTCTCAGAACATGAGTGCATGGATGGAATCCTCTGCAATGGTTTGCAATTAACAATGCTGCGGAAGGACAGCCGATATATTGTGCGGAGTGGCTTACAATGCAACAGATTTCCCTTACCAATGACAATGTAGGACACCAACCCACTATAACGTGTGCTCCCTCAGTGCTAGCTGGACTACATGGACCAAGCAAGTAATCCCATCGTGTGCAATTTATAGCACAGAACAGCATCAAATTTCAAACAATAACGCTAGGCTAATAACTGCAGCCTATGTAGCTTACCGTTCTTCCAATTTCGATGGGTCTCGTCTCCACTCCACGTACAGTCGTTTGGGGACAGCTTGTTTCGCATCCTGAGCATCTGGCTCGTACATGTATAGTCCAACCTAGATCTTGCCAACAACCTCCCCTTCCTCCAACTCTTCAAACCCCTGGATCCCCTCAAATAAGTTTGAAACATCGCTTTCTGAATCCATGTCTGACTGGCTTTTTACACTCTGCATATTGGGCCCGATTGTAGTCCTCGAAGTGACGTCACATTCCCGGTTTTGTCGCATGCCAGGATCTCGCTTCGGGAAAGATTACTTTGTTGAATTTACAAAATAGAAAATATTTTTTTCATGCTTTATATAATGTATTTTGTTTAATTACTTGTGACATAAAAATGTCTCATCGAGGATTTTCTGAAATTACTTCAAATCTTGTTTTCAACTAGCATTACAATGAGCATTTTGTCATTCTTCAAGTATGAAACAGTGGATAGTTGCAAACGGTACATATTTACTCTTGTTTCATAATTTCCACCAAATCATGTTGTCCACTCTGTCATTGTCACATATCAAGTGATATTAGGGCTGGGCGATAATTTACTATCCATGTATCCTGATAGACAATTGATTGATAACAATAGAAGATGCATTCGATAAAATGTACAACTTACCCAAACTCCCCCGATTAAATACCTCCGGATGGATACGTGGTGTACGTGTAAAGGTGTTCTTAGTCTTTGACGTGCTAGCGCCAGTGTCAGACCCTCTGCATCGCACCAGTCAAAATCGGGCAAGTATAAATGGACAATGGCAATAATTTGTCCTAAAGACAGTTGATCAACATTAACGCATACACCGCAAGAGAGTATTAGTTCACTACACTGACATTGTATGAACATTGAATGAAGGTTAATGTCACGATCACCAATATTGCTTTGGGGTAGCATCTCACGTAAAAGCATTTACAATGCTGTGGTGAAAGATCAAAATTGCAATGTACCCAAAAACAGTTAATTGTATTTATAAAAAAAAAAATATATACACACATATCAATATTGACTGATATGCAACACTTAAATAGTGGAGCATATTTTCAGCCATATCACCCATCCAAGCACATTATGTTCACAAAGGGTGTTTATTTAATCTTTATATTGACCATTTTATTTGATGTTTTTCAAAGTTGCATTGACTTCCTTTTAAAGATGAAGTACTAGAAGTTAAAATTGGGTAAATTCAGCCTTTTTTCTCGGGGTCCTTATTTTCACCATTAAAAAAAAAAAATCACTATATATTGAGATCAAGCAATATGAAATACTCACAGCATGTTATACTTTTCAGTCATGACGCCCAGCCTAAGTGATATAAAAAACCTTTTCTGAAATCTGACATCTATTTCATAGGACACAATCAGCCTGCCAGATAAATTATGTTGCAAAGTAAAGGTCCACCCATGTGCTCACTAAATGCTACCATTAACCAAAAAAGTCGAACCCGTCATCATCCACCCTGTTAGCCACATATTTTGCTGTTTGCGTGTTAGAGTAGGAGTAGTTATTGCAATAAGTTCCCCCTTAAAAGAACCTGAACACTAACTACACGTACATGCTCTCTTAGCCTGTCTTGAAATGTGTTTAACTTGACTTGTGATTACTTTCTCAGGTGGACCAGATGAACAAAATAGTGGAGGTTCTCGGAATCCCACCTAATCACATAATGGACCTAGCCCCAAAAGCCAGAAAGTTCTTTGAGAAGCTTTCGGATGGTACATGGAGTGTGAAAAAGACCAAAGATGGCAAAAGGGTAAGCCACTGTCTTTACCCATGCTCGGAAGCCAACTAAAACAAAGTATATAAGTAACTGTGTTTGTTTCATTTGTGTGATAGTATAAACCTCCAGCTTCACGGAAGCTCCACTCCATCCTGGGCGTGGAGACCGGGGGTCCGGGCGGCCGGCGGGCAGGCGAGTCTGGCCACGCCGTTGCAGACTACTTGAAGTTCAAGGACCTGATCCTGCGGATGCTGGATTACGACCCCAAGAGCCGCATCCAGCCCTACTACGCCCTGCAGCACAGCTTCTTCAAGAAGACGGCGGACGAGGGGACCAATACGAGCAGCAGCGTGTCGACAAGCCCCGCCTTGGAGCAGTCCCAGTCTTCAGGAACCACCTCCAGCACCTCCTCTAGTTCTGGTACGTGACTATCGGGAAGGAATCCTTTAAAATTAAAGAGCATGTGGGAAGGTGATACCACGGTAACACTCATGATGACTTCTTTAGGAGGCTCCTCTGGAACAAGCACCAGTGGGAGAGCGAGATCAGACCCGACCCATCACCACTTACACAGTGGGGGACATTTTGGAACTGCCATGCCAGCCATTGATGGAGACAACCTCTGCCCACAGGTCCTACCCCAAACTCCATCAATCACCGAACCTATAGTGATGTTTTGACTTTGTAGTGTCCCAACTTACAGGTTAAACAAGTTACAACTTTACAAAATTGTACTAAATAAGTATGGAATATACAAGTCATATGTCAGATTACAACAAGAATGCAAAACACTTTTTAGTTATCACATCTGCTTTTCACGTTTCATGAAACAATGATATGTTGACTCTGTGTCTTAAGCATTGAACTTATCTCAACACTATATAAATAAATAACTAAAATATTTTTTAAGGTGTACCCCGTAACCGAAATGACGTACCCCACACACACACACACGCTCATACACATACACCCAAATTTGATGATTTAAACACTAAATCAAGGTACCACGATCTTTTTGACAACAACATCACATGACGCTGTCGATAATTGTTTGTTGGCAGGCTCGACAGCCTTACCCACCTCCACTAGTGTGGGGAGGTGGCGTCGTACCGGAATCAGTCACCGGCGAGACCCACCCAGTCCAGGAGACCACCTTCCATGTTCCCCCACAGCACCCGAAGGCTCTGCATCCCCACTCACACGCTCATCACCACCACGGGCCCATGATGGCCACGCGGCCGCGCCCGCGCCACTACACCTCCCCGACGCACAGCTCGTCGACCCAGGACTCCATGGAGGTGGTCCACGGCCATCTGTCTATGACCTCCCTGTCTTCCTCTGCCTCCTCTTCATCGACATCTTCCTCTTCCACCGGGAATCATGGCAACCAGGCCTACCAGCTCCGCCATTTGCCCGCCGGAGCCCTCGACTTTGGTCAGAACGGCGGGCTGAGCATGGGGCTAGGTGCCTTCTCGAACCCACGGCAGGAGACCGGCATGGCTGCGCACCCTGCTTTCTCCATGGGCACGAACACTGGGCCTGGCCACTACCTGGCAGAGGGCCACCTGAGCATGAGGCAGGGCATGGACCGGGAGGAGTCTCCAATGACTGGAGTGTGTGTGCAGCAGAGTTCCATGGCAAGCTCGTGACTGCGCTGACGTTTTTGGCTGTGTGTTCCCCCCTGTGCGTCATTTTTAAGGTGGTGTTTTTTACTACAAGGTGTGTTGAGAATCAAAGCTGCTCACGTCAGAAGGGAGATATCACTGAACCGCTACTACAGAGGGGGGAAAAACCTTTCTGAAGAAGAAGTATATATGTAATTGTCATCCGTTTATTCTTTTGCGACCATTAGCCACAAAGTTATACTGCGGAATAACCATAGTGAGATTGAGACATCCATTTTACCATTTCACCAACGTACGATATTATGTGGCAAAGAGGAGCATTTCAGAGCAAAGTTAAGGCCGTGAAATGCTCGCCTGACATTACTGTTCCACTCGTTCGTCATTAATTTGACCCCCCCACCCCCCAAGCAAAATGTCACACGAAGAAGCTGCTTGTAAATCCCTTAGCTTCACGAGAAGGGCGAGTGTTTTTTTGCGGTGATATTTCTTGTTGGTGGCTCAGTTGGTGTTGTGTAACTCGACATGACAGCGGAGTTCCCTATAAGCGTGTGCTGGCCGGGTGCAGGCGGATTCAGACGCAGAGCTGGTCGGAGGAGAGGGGAGGCATCCATCCCTCACGCCAAGATGCCTCAAAAAAATGGCGGCGCGAGCTGCAGCAACACGAGCGCAGCGGAAGGAATACAGTCGGTGGCTGATTTGAAATAACCCTTTGGCCTTATGACTCATGGACTACGACTGGGGATGGAGCTGGACATTATCATTTTGAATTAAGATGGCTTTTCTCTATTTTTCTCTCTCGACAGCCCTTAATTCTTGAAAACATTTTCGAAGAAAAAAAGCTAATTAAGAATGGTAATTTGAGGCCTTTCTCGACAAAGATTTCTTCTTCAGCAGGGCCCCACATAACAGGGTCTTATTGTACACAACAACCTCCTAAACATGACTTCCTTAAAAAAAAAAAAATTTATCTTAGTCACCGGTTAAGGCTTTTTGCAGTGGAAAGAACTTATCCCAGAGTCGACCCCTTTTTTGTTGTTGTTTTTTGTTTTGTTTTGTTTGCTCATGTTTTTGCATGTTGTTCCTCATCAGAACCACCTGCACAGGTCTCGCCCCGCCACCCCCCCCCCAAAAAAAAACCCACATGGAAACTGAAAAGAAAAAAGTGACTGCCTTTTTTTTTTTGTCCTCAATGTATGCTGTGAATTTTACAAGAATTTATTTTCCCTTTGGATATGTTTTTATACCAAAGCAGTTGTTTTATAGCATATTAGGTGTCTGTAACCAATAATGTAGCAGTTCACCATGTGTTGATGAGATCTTATTGACGTGTCAACA